GAGGTTTAGGGGTTGTTAGTGTTTGCTTGCTTTTAAAGTTTTCCAGGTATTTAGGCGTTTGGGGACATGTTTGTTTAAAGAGAATCAAAAGCAGCGATTTGAATGTGTGGGCAGAGCCTGTGGTTTTTAGTGAGAAGGCCCATTGTTTTCACCTATCTATGCAAATGTGCACCCCTAAGTCCTTGATCAATTCAGTGCTAAGGACTTAAGAAGTCCCCATAAGAAGAGGAGCTTTGGGACTTTTTTGCTTTATACACACCAAGAAAAAAGAAAAGGAGAAAAACGAAGAGGGGAAATAGAGCAGAGACCTGTGTCTCCTTTGTCTCTAACTCATGGTGGAGGTGAACTTCGCCTTGGCCAAACCCCTGGTCTGTCCATTTGTTGTCTGACGGAAAGGTGGGCTCACCTTGCTTCCATGCACCCTCCTCTCTCCTCTCCGGTCTCCCACTCTTTGCAGACCCTCAGGACATCTTTCAGGCGCCTTAAGTCCAAGGCGATTCTGTAGAACTTCCATAAACGGCTTGGGATGGGGACCCAGGTCCCCGACTCCTGTGAGCTCAGGGCAGCCGTGTCCCTGGGCCTTGGACGTTCCTGCTGCCCTCTCTGTCTGTGAAATGCTGCGGCGTGCGGAGCCAGGGGTGGGTGGTAATGTGCACGTCACTTGTGACATCACAGGACAGTGGCCCTCTTTAACTTCCACCTGTTTATGTGATGATGTTACATTTTCAGGTTTTTTTATCGGCCATTTACAGCTCTGGTTCTGAAAGACACCTCAAATATATTCCAAAGATCTTCAATATGGAGGTAAGTTTAGGTTGGTGGTGAACTGTGAGCTCATGATCTCTCACCTGTTCTCCTTAGAGATTTGTGGGAAGGGCAGGCTGCAGGTGGGGGGGGTCCAGGGGGGAGGGCACCTTGTTTAATGCTATCCTTAGGCTTCTCACCAAGTACTAATAGCTAATGCTATTCTTTACAAATGTGGGTCTGCTGAGTTCCTAGTACTATATGACTTTAGGTTTTTCTTATCAAAGCTAAAGCCTTCCGTTTTCTTCTTCTGCCTGGGAGCAGTTCTGGCCACCATGCTGACTTAGGCCGCTGCAGCCTGTCTGACCTGCTGTTGTCATGGGCTGGGCGGTGTGGCGTCCAGCACAGCACAGTGATGGTTAGATAGGTAAAAGCGATGTGGGGCTTCAATCTGTGGGTAAAGGGCTTGAAGGACAGGTGGTGGCAGGGTCTCTCCAGGAACGTGAGAAAGAGCCTTTTCCTGCCTGACGTCGTTTTGTGCTTCCGCATTAGATTTTTGGATGTTTTGCTCTGACTGAAGTAAGTCACGGGAGCAACAGCAAGGCCATCCGGACGACCGCTCACTACGACCCTACCACTGAGGTAGGTGCCCCTTCCCATCGCTCCCTGGGCTCCGAGCACATAAAACACGGTGTTCTCATAAGTGAAAAGGTAATGAGACCACAGGCCCCATCTTTATACTCGTGAGCTTGTAAGGTGTACACCGAGATCCATCGTGCTGAAAAGTGGGTGCTCATGAGGTGAAGGCTTTAAGAGGCCAGACCTACCCCACCCGGAAATTTCATTAATTAGAACCAATGAGGGAGAAGGTAGGCGCAAAACGGGCTTGGAGGGAACTCCACTTAAAGGAGGTGGCCAGGGAAGGCGTCCCTGAGAAGATAACCCGACCCGGAGTTTGGCCAGCTTCCAGAAGATTCTACATGTATTTTACTGTTGGACATGTTGGTCGTCATATTCCATAGGAAGGTTCCGTGTGAGGTTCTAAGAGCCGGGGATGTGCTCTGTTTAAAAAGAGGGCCACCGGTACCTTACAGGAAATAAAACTTCCAGCCAGCTTGTACCGTCGCCTCAAAGATTTCTGAGCAGCGAACATCAAAAAGGAACAGAAACCCTGCGTGTGTTTCAGTTGCTGATGATAATTTTTTTTTTCCTTGTGCAGGAATTCATCATACATTCCCCTGATTTTGAAGCCGCCAAATTTCTGATTGGCAACATGGGCAAGACGGCTACTCATGCAGTGGTGTTTGCCCAGCTGTACACGCCGGGGGGCCAGTGCCATGGCCTGCATCCCTTTGTCGTTCAGGTAGGCTGCCGTGCGTGCTGTTAGAGGGCAGGTGGCAGGCTTTACCCCAGGGACATTGGGCAGTGTCTGGAGACATTTGCATCACAACTGCGGGCAGGGGCGTGCTTCTAGCATCTCGTGAGTCGAGACCAAGGACACAGCTAAACCTCCTAGGATGCACAGGACTGCCCCACCCACCCCCTAAGAGAGAATTGTCCAGCCCCAAATTTCAGGGGTGCCGATGTTGAGAAGCCCTGGGCCCCAAGGCTTCAGGTGGAGGGTCTGTCTGTCCTAGTGCCACATCCGCATCGTCTCAGACACTCAGCACAAATCTGGATTGCAGGGCCCACCCTCCCGGGACTCCGACTGAGCAGGTCTGGAGCCTGGTGTGAGGTCCGGCTGGGGGGCCTCATGGAGCGTGTTCCTGGGTCACACTCAGGAAGCTTATGCCCCAGGGGGTGGCGTGCGGGACTGAGGGCCGGCACCGCTTCCCTCCTCCTGGTGGGGCTCACTTCCCGACTGCCCGGGGCAGCTGCAGTCTCCCCACCTGGAGCTTCCAGAAGTGTGTTCTCTCTGGACCTTTCTATCTGGACTGATGGGGTCCTGGATGAAGCCCCACTTCCCCCTACCCTGCCCCATTCTGGGATGTTTGTTCTTTCAGACTTTTCTGGTGTGGGAGGGACTCTCATGGAAGAAGGAAATTATCTTGTGGTTTTTCTTTGAGGTGTAATTCCTTTGACATACAATTCACCATGTTAAAGTGAACGATTCCGTGACAATTAGTGCACTCGCAGTGCTGTGTGAGCACCGCCTCTCCAGCTTCAAATTGTTTCGTCTGCAGAACACCCCTCCCTAGCCCTGGCAGCCGCCCTGCGACTTCCTGTCTCTGGATGTGCCAGCTCTGGCCCTTTCATATAAAAGGAATCGTGTGCTATGCGGACTTTGGTGGCTGGCTTCTTTCACTTAACATATGTTTGAAGTTCAGCCAAGTGGTAGCTTGGGCCAGAACTTCCTTCCTTTTTAAGGCTGAATAAGCCATTTTATGGGTAGGCCACAATTTGTGTGTCCATTTGTCCATGGATGGACAGGTGGGTTATTTCCACCTTTTGGCTTTTGCGAATAATGTCGCTGTGAACGTTCATGAACAGGTGCCTGTCTGAGCACCTGTTTTCAGTTCTTTTGGGAGTGGAATTACTGGGTCATTTGGTAATTCTGTGTTTAACTTTTTTTTTTTTTTTTTAAAGATTTTATTGGGGAATTGGGGGAGGGGAACAGTGTTGGGGAATTGGGGAAGGGGAACAGACAATTTCCTATCCTTTGGTTCTTCAGTTTAGTTGTGGAGGACGCCGCTTCACTGACTCATTTTGGTATTGTGATCAATGCGTTCTTCCCGGGTGAGGCAGTCACTCGCCGGCCATTGGACGGCCGCTCACGACGGCTCACGGCAGCTCACGAAAGCTCACACCAGCTGCCGGCCAGCCCCANCAAGAGTTAACTTTTTACGCACCTCATCAACCTTATAATGAAACAATGTTGAAGGAAACATTGTTATTCGAGGACCTGCCACACTAGATACCAGACTAGGATCAATCACTGTGTTGTCACCGCTCCTGCAGCAGAGAGAGGGGTAGTGACTTGCTATGTGAGCAAGCTACCTCACCCAGCTCCTAAGCTCTAATGTTGGGATCTGACGCCCGGGCAGTCTGGCTGCGGGGTCCTTCGTCGCATCAGCTCTACCATCATGCAGTAATGCTGGTGACCTCAGGTGGCTTGGGGCCATAACGGACTTACTGGTTGCTTAGGATCATGGGGTTTGGGGACAGATGTTCCTGATAACAGCCTGACCTTGGGCACCTGACTTCACTCTAACAGGCTCCAGTTTTGTCAGCTGAAAATGAGAGTACTGGTAGTACTTGGGGTTGCTACACCATTGAGACATTACCCTCACTCGGTGATTGCTCAGTAAGGGGAGGTTATTAGGATAGATCTAATAGGAGCAGAGAGAAATGAAAGGATGCAGTGGGTATTAAAGAGGAGCATCAAGGGGCTTGGTGACCAGTCGGGTTATGGGGCATGAAGGACGGGGGAGTTCCAGGATGACACCCAGGTTTATAGCTCCAGGTGCCCTTGGGCCACTGGCCAGGTGAGCCTGGGCCTACAGGAGGACAGGCTGGGTCAGGGGGCTGAGGCGAGTTCGGTGTATGAAGACCTCCACAACAGAAGAGGGGAGGACGTCCAGGAAACCGACAAGTGAGCACCTGGGTCTGGACACACGGAACTCTCGGTTCACAGAGAACATGGCCTGTTTACCTTGGCTGCGCTTCACACCCTGGCCCCAGGGCCGCAGACTGCTCTCCCCGTCTCCTCATCACCTTTGTTCCGGAGTGAGAACGAGATCTCCCCTTGCCTTCTGTTTGGGGAAAAGGGACGTTAGCTCTAAATGGGGATAATTCTCTTTTGCGTCCCTTTGGGGTTAGAGTTTTTCTCTTACACACATTGTA